CCCCCCAGCAGGCAAGGCAGGGCTGGGAGGGAAAGGGAGGCGCCGCGGGAAATCGCACCTCCCGGCCAGCCCCGGGAGCTGTAGTGGAAACAGGTTGTTGGATCTCGTTGCGAGAGGAAGGGGCGGCTGCGATTCGCAGCGAGCCAGATTTGGGCTCTGAGAAATGGAGACGGAACTGCTGCTTTCCCCCCCAGCGATGTGCTGAGAGAGATGGACAGCAAATTACTGCAGGAAAGCTTTGCTCCAAAACTGCCTCTTCCCAGGAAGCTAACACACTCGAGCTCCTGAAGTTCTGGCAGCTGCTAGCTCAGCTTGGGGGCAACCACAGCAAGTTTCCTCTGCACGAGTCCCAGTTTGCAGGGGTCAGACAGGTGATTTTTTTTTTTGTTCCTCTCCCTGTGCGTGGCCAGGAAAAGTGCCACTGAATACCAACAAATCTGCTTGAAAGCTTGGGAGAGCTTGAGAAAAACCACGGTGGAGAGTTGTGGGGTTGTGGATATACTGGACACAAAGTACTACCACCTCTGCTCGAGAGATTCATATGGCTTGAAGGTAAGAGATAAGTGTTGATGCTTTTCTTCAAGAAATATACATGTTGTGAATACCTCCATTGAGGGAATGGAGGAAATACAACAGAATGGCTGTTGTAATCACCACCACCTAACAATGTAAACAAAGATAGTAGAAGAAGAAAATATTTGTTGTTATACCAACTGATCTGTTTAGGCTTGACTCCTTTGAAATAGATAAAATAGAATAGAATAGAAGAATAGAGTGTTTTGAAATTTAAAAATATAAATTATCTTGATTTTTCCTCAGAAAATCTAACTGCAAAGCAACAAACATTTTAATTCCTTTTAAATGCTAAAGATGCATCTGGAGATGCTAAGACACTAGGATTCTTTTCAGAAGTTTGATGCTTAACATCTCTCTCACATACACACTATGGAAATAAAGTGACAGGAAAAACTGTAGGAGGTGTATGTGTAGTTAGAATATAATGTAGGTACATTCTATTTCCCAAAAGAATGAAATTGTTCAATCAACTTATTTGAGGAAAAACACAATTTTTTTCTTACGATACTCAATTTTTCTACAGAAGACAAAACTTATATCTCTTATAATTTACTTCTCAGCACTGGTCTTAACATTGAACAGTCTTTCCCGGTGAGGGATGGGAGATTGGTTTCCCTCACTCTT